CTGTTAGTCTTAAAGGTGCCACAGGACCCTCTGTTGCTTTTTACAGATTCAGACTAACACGGCTACCCCTCTGATCTATTTTTATGTTGTCTTTCCTTTATTTTCATGAAAAACAAGAACATCTGCTTCTGTCTGGTGAAACAGAACAAAATGAATATACTGAAAAATTGTGTTCCTCACTTTGAAACAAATGACACTTTATTTTTAATAAACATATCTTCATAATCAGAGCCAGGCCTATGATCTAATTTGATGATACCTCACTTCTAATCTCTTCAACTCAAAATGAATATGTGTCTTCATGGTTGTTGATGCAGGTGTAACTTAATGAATTCAGACTAGATTTATCTGACATTAGTTGCTCAAACTGGTGTCAGAAGCATAATATCCTCCAATTTTTTGTACCAGGCAATACCAGTAAACTGCTACAGAGCAATGTAAATCAGAACTTTATCTTCAAGTCCATAAAACACCTGATGTGAATTTTTTATGAAGCTGTCCTAAATAAATGGTTGCCAGAATATATAGCATTCTCTTAAAAATCTAGCAAATGGATGGTGATTGAACTGAGGAGACATGATGTCACATAATAACAGTCAAAATTTGCTATGTATTATTATTTCAACAACATATAAAAGTGTACTAGGCAAATATAAAAGAGAGACCCTGTGCCCTAAAGAGCTTACAGTCTAAGAAGCATGCATCCTGAAAAGGATTTGTTGAATGACCAGGTTCTTGAAGTTTGCAGGTCTGAAGCCAGGGCCAGCTCCAGCGTTTTTGCCGCCCCAAGCGGTGGGAAAAAAAAAAAGCCGCGATTGGCGGCAACTTTACCGAGAGGGACCAAGGGACCCGCCACTGAAGACCCAGATGTGCCACCCCTTTGCGCTGTCCTCCCCAAGCACCTGCTGTGCTGGTGCCTGGAGCCAGCCCTGTCTGAGGCCTATATTTTAGATAAAACATACTGTAATGAGTGTGCACAACAGAAGAGTGGAAGGGAGAATAGGGTTTCAAAGTAAGGTATGTTATGTACCCATCTTGAATGTTTTGATGTGTGTGAGTGCATATATTTATACAGACACTGAAGTATATAATATAAATAAAATTCCCACAAGTTATTTTAACCTTATTTGTTAATTTCTACATTAAATGGCAGTAAGCGGGAAATAAAAACACATATTTAATAGGCCAAATCTATCCATTATGTATTTTCACTCAAGTCAGTATTATGTATTATTTTTGTGTGCTGAGTTACACCAGGGGTCAATACGATCCACTATGATAATATTTCAAAATCTGCACGAGAGTAAATGTCTACAATATAAAATATAGATCTTCCACGTATTAAAGTGTCACTTAACTCCAGTGTAAAAATTTTCAACATAATAGTCTTATAACCAAGAATAATTTTGCTTAACCTGGCACACTGGATTAGGAGAAATCTGGGCATAGTTTAGTGGAGGATTCCAATTATCTTTTGCTTCTGAAGTCCCAGTATGGATATGTTTTTCTGAACCTCTATCAAAACTCCTTAGATATTTGTTACCTGAAATACTGGAACAAATTCAGCTCTAGTGTCAGACATTGAGTTCAACTATTTACATTAATGGGAGTTGCACTCAATTACGTCAGGGCTGAATCGGTCCAATGTGCCTGAGTTACCTTTATGTCAGGTGTTTCCTGCCAGATAACTGCTTGGAGGAGCTAAGGGCCTGAAGTGACGTTCTTTAGGCCAGATAATCAATAGCTTCCAGAAAATGCCCAACCCAGACCATCATTGTTGCCTTTACAACCACTTTAAATTAGCTGGAGAAAAGTATACATCACCCCTACCCCACAAAGTCAGAGTTAAAAGTTGAATGGAATGTTGCTGTGGAATGTGCATTTTGTTTACAGCACTAGTCTTTCCTAGCAGTTAAGATCTGGCAAGTCTTCAAACTCAGCACTACATTAAGTTTGTAATTGTAGCTTTATGATCTTGGTTATACCACGCTTACATGCAACCAAACCCAAGCAACCACTTGGCGCTCTGCCTTTATGCAGCCCTTACCCTATACCATGTAAGGTGTGCGATTCCTACACTTCTCCTGCATTATTAATAGTTGTTAAGTGTTGACACCATGCTTGGCACTGTATGACACAGAAAAAATTATGGTTGTGGTTAAAAGCTGCCTTCAGGAAGTCATTTGCAATGTATAACAACAACTTTATTGAACCTACTAATTTATAAACAATGGTACAAATTCTGTGCCAGTAGGTGGCGCTGTTTGTATGTAGTATCTGTATATATGCATATCTGCACCTATAACTTTTATATCATACTCTCATAACAGTCTCCATATTGAGGAGGTTGTAGTCTAAACAGACAGAACATGTCAAGGGAGCTAGAGAACTGTACTAGTTTAGAGTCTTTTATTTCCCAATAATGAGTGGGTGACCATAGGTTAGCTGAAGTGAGCTATCTTCTGAGAATTTCATAAAAGAAGTGTGTTTTCAGGAAAGGATGGGTGGTTGGGACAATAGGATGGAGAGGGGGCTCGGACGAAGGCACAGAAATGGGAAACAGAAGAAGAGGTGAGGAGGGATTTATTGGTGAAATAAAAGGGGTGGGCACAATAGGAATGGCAAGAAATGAGAGCAGAGGTGTTGAAGGGAGCAGACCTGTGTTGAGCCTTGAAGATATGGGTGGCTTGGGCTTGATACAGGAGCCAGTGGAGGCATTCAGAGAGATGACTTACATGGTGCGAGCAGCAGGTGAGGAAAATGATGTTAGCTTCTATAGAACTGGAAAGAGGTGGCACAGGAATTGTGAAGGCCAGTGCATTTTAGCAGTAGACAGACAGGAAGAGTCAGATTCATGAGAGGAGGTTGAAAAAGAACCAGCAGGATTCAGTGACTGCTTGGATGTCTGGTGAGATGACAAGAGAAGAGCTGGGAAAAAAAACCGCACAGGGAGGCTGAGGGGGTGCGGATTGATCAGTATCAAGTGCTATAAACAAGCTAAGTGTTGTAATCATTTCTCTCTTGGAAGCAGGCCCAGATGTGGAAGGAATCTACATTCCCCCGGCCACCCATCCCGCCACCAGAGGGAGACACTTAGAACTAGAGCTGGGTGCCATTTTTCATTGCCAAAATGAAACGTTTTGATTTCTTGTTTCTGAACGGCCTCCTTTGGAAAGTCGCTTCCATTTTATTTGTAAGCGATTTAAAAATGTTCACAACAGCAAGTGTTTGGGGACAGAACGAAACATTTTGCTCCCTCACAATAAAATCGTTTTTCTTTTCCCCTTTGTCGTTTGTACTTTTTAAATTTGCAGAAATCTTCCTTTTCAGGTCGACTTGAAACCATTTTTTTTAACTTGCCGCCCGCCGGGAAACTGAAGGATCAAAGTTATTCGCCCAACTCGCCTTGGAACACGAGTCCCTCCCCCATCCTGGCAACGTCTCGGGTCTCCCCTCTGATACTGCCCAAGCTGTAAATGCGCCTCGTGCTTTTCCCCTAGGGGGAGCTCGAGCCTGCATTCCCCCCGCACCACCCGGGAGCCGGGTGGTGCCCAGTTTCTGATCCCTGGGGACCGGGCACGCAGTCCTGGGCGGGTCAGACCGTGGGCTGCGCTGCCTTATCGTGGTTCCCTCTCCCGCGGGGCAGCTGCGCCCAGGCGCTAGAGCAGCTGCGGCTTCTGCGGGGCCACAGCTCGAGGTGCTGCCCCGGATCATGCCCTTGCTCGAGTTCAGCCCTGGCCGTGGATGCTGCTACACCCGCTGCTTCCCTCTTCCCCCGCCCCGGCCCTGGCCACCGCCCCGCTGCCCAGCAGACAGCTTTGTTGCCCTTCCACAGCAGAGCTACTCAGGGGTGAGCTTGGCGGCGAACCCCCGCAGGGCTTTCATCCCAGCCCCCCAACCCAACCCAACCCGGCGGCTCTGCTCGGCGCTGGGGGCAGGAGGTAGCGGGACCAAGCGTCCCAGGTGGTCACACCGAAACAGCACCGTGGGCTGGCCGGTCTTCGCTGCTGGTCTCCTTCTTGCCCTCCCCCCTCGCATTTCCAGTCCTGCAATCCCTTAGCCACTCACGTGTCTCCTCCCCAGTGACTCGGGCATGCCCTGGGGAACACTAGCGCTCCAAGCCAGGCTGGATTGGCTGAGCCCACGTCAGGAGGGGCGGGCCCCAGCACTAGTTCATCTTTAAGGCAGAGTGGGGATAAGCGAGGAGGCACAGGAGCCGGATACTGGAGATCTCACAGTCAGGTTACAACCTAGGGCAATTGCATGGTTTATGGGCGGGCTATGGATGGTGTCAGACCGTGTTTTACTGATGACACTGCAAAAACAGCCCTGTCAGGGAACCTGGTTACATCATCTCCTCTCTCCCCCGCCCCTTAATGGTTTGTACTACAGTAATAACACTTCTGACCTGAAAGTGCTTTACATCTTCAAAGTGCTGTATCAGTCATGACACCACACGTATGTAAGCAAGTATTATTAGTCCCATTTTACAGAGGTGAAATTTAGGCCTTGTCTAAACTGGGCATTACACCTTTTATGTAGCTGCAGTGATTCAACCCCCATGTGTAAACAAGTAGAATGAGTTACTATAATCCACTCTTTACATCAGTGTTCTTTATCCTGGTGTCTAACTAGGGGTAAACTGCACCTGTGCAATACTATGGATTACAGGGGCTCTGTGTCTATCAGTGGCTGTAACTAGGACTGATTTCCAGTGTAGATAAGGGCAAAAAGGCCAATTTTTCAAAAGTGTCCACTAATTTTGGGTGCCTCTGGGAAGATCACAAGTAACAGGGTAGTTCAATTTCCACCCTCATTCACCCTCTGGTCTCTCTGCTTAGACTATCATCAGTGTGTGAATTACAGCCAGTTGGGAAGATGGATTTTAGCGTGTGGGCACCTGTCCCCTGGGAACTGCACTGGAGAGACTTTACTAGGGAAAATAACAACAACAGGCCTCTACATCTACAACTTCAACGGTCGCGCCGTGATTTTAGGTGCCTCAGCTTTAGGCACTTCATCTTGAGACACCTTAAAGGGGCCAGATTTTCAGCAAGTGCTGAGCACCTATCCTCTGAAACCTGAGGTGTCCAAAATTAAGTCACCTTTGGAAAAGTAGGCGATGAAAAGAAATTATCTGATACCTAGGAAGTTCATCTGTTTTACCTCCTCTAACATACAGTGTATTTGATATATTTAATCTCCACTTTTTTATAAATCCATCTCATTCCACCTGCAGCATTAAGACTTTTAGAGAGTGGATTTGAAGGGCTGTTCTGTTTACAGACAGTGTCTAAAAGCATTATTCCCTACCATGATCACTTGTGCTTCTACTTTAGGAGGGAGTGTCGCATGCATTCCCATTTGCTGGAGCTGCACCTCGGCCATACATATTGAGCTAGGTTTTCCCCTGATGGTTCTCTTTGAAATGTGTTGTTTTAATGTATAGAGTAGCTAAAGTGTGCTGGACTCTTTGCAAATGAGACATGGAGTGGAATTTTCAAAAGGTACCTAAGGGTGGAATCCATGACGGTATTACATCCTGTTTTTAGGCACCACAGCAATCTACAAAACTCCTCCTTGGTTGCCGCCTAACCCTTTAGGCAGGACCAGCTCCAGCATTTCTGTAGCCCCAAGCAAAAAAAAAAAAAAAAAAAACCGCGATCGGCGAGCGGCGAGTTCAGCAGCAGGTCC